GTATATATACTATTTATTTATATATTTATTTTTTAAAAGACTCAAAACAATTGTTCTTAAAATTCATGACAAAATCCCTGTGCAGATTCTATTCTTGTTGATTTTAGGTCAGAGGGCCGAGAAGTAAAAGAAGCAGACAGTTTGGAACAGAAAACATGGAGCCACATTTGATCTAAGATTTGCTCTCTGCTCGCTCCTCAGTGCCTCTTCCTGATCTGGTGTATGGCTCCGGTGACGTGGAACGGTTCGGACATTTTGTACAAGCGGGTGATTCGGCCGTTTTTCTTGAAACACCAGAGTACCATGGACACCGTGGTCAGTGATCTGACTGCCAAGGCCAAGAACGTCACTGAGAGCGTCACAAAGGAGGGTCAGTCTCCATCAGTATACATAGACATGTAGTAATCACATGTTCAATCATGTGGTCCTATGGACTTCAAATTTTTATACACTTTTTAACCTTTTTATACACTTTTTAAACTTTATACAGTTTTTAAAAATTTTATACACTTTTTAACTTTTGAGTAAAGTCATTTGTTCTTTTGTTTATTTTGTTTGTTGTGTTTTCTATCAGCTTTTAACCGGGCCCTCAGCCACGAGAAGGATCAGTAAGAACCATGGAAGGCTTTGTGTTGTGTGTTTTTGTTTGTCTGGTGTTTGCCTTTTTGTTTGTCCATGTCTTTTCATGGTGGATGATGCTGATCAACCTGCACTTGACAGTGAACTGAAGCCTCCCCCTCCTGAACAAAACCTGTTTGTGCATCCACATGGGTTTACTGCCATCAGTACTGCGAGGACACTTAATGAAACTGTGACCGTTCTGTGTGATTTTGTCTTTGTTGTCACAATGAATTGGAAAAAATGTTTATAGCAAAAAGAAAAAAAGTCCTGTTTGCTTGCACATTTAAACACTCGAGGTACAATCAATATTTAAAACCATATCGATAACACAAATGAATGAAGTAAAAGTCATCTCAGGAAATTTGAAGTCATCACCTTTTCCTTAAAATGTTTATAAACATGTTTCATTGATAACTGGGTAATGATTGTTTTCTTGCCCTTACATGCCTTATGTGGCAGGCCGAATTCAGTCTGAGGTACTAAAAAGTTTCTCAGTCTTTATCAGTGACTGAAAAACTTCTGTCTTTTAAATTGTCTTAACTTATTATAGTGTATTGATTTAAAAATAAAACTGGAACCCTCACTAACTAAAAGAAGTGTGTCTGTGTCTGCCTTCAAACCTTCAGACTTCTTTCACGCCTGGGAAAAAAAGGATTTTATTTGGTCTGTATTACAGCGTTCATGCATCTGTGCTTTTTGTAATTGTTTTTACAGCTGTGAGGATGAGGGCACTTTTATCAATAACTCCTGAGGATTTAGTTCTTACAGAAGAGCTTTAGGGCCGTGGTGCAAGAAGTTTGTTTATTTTACTGAATTCTGACTTTATTCTCAAAACTCTGGTGGTAATCTCAGAATTCTGATGGGTTTTATCTCAACATTTTACATTTATTCTCAGAATTTTGACATTTTATCTCAGAATTGACTTTAGTGTGTTTTTTCTGAACACAAAATTTGATCTTAGAATTCTTTCTCAGAATTTACTTTAGATTAAAGTATAAAAATTTGAATGGTAGAATTTAGAAAATACGACTGAGTTTTAGGGACACAGAGATTTTTTTATTACGAGATTTAAGTCATAATATTACGAGAAACTTTACACAAATAGCAGTCCAAAAGTTCAAAAATATCTTTATTTCAAAACAGACATAAAACAAAAACAAAATGTGTGTACAGGTGCTGGTCATCAAATTAGAATATCAAGAAAAAGTAGATTTATTTCAGTAATTCCATTTAAAAAAGTGAAACTTGTATATTATATTCGTACATTACATACAAACTCATATATTTCAAATGTTTATTT